ATTGAGGACAAATTCCCACTGCGGTCGCACTATGCAGTGATTTGTTCAAATTAACTATTCCTGGTAGTCTGGTAGTCTTAGTTTCATCTTAATAGCAAACGGGTCACCCCATCTTTGCTCCGCACCTGTGCCAACGAAAAACACACAGAATGTTTATCACAGTCCCTTGCGGAAAGATTGACAGACTGCTGTCTCAGCATATCTAGTATACACACGCATTAAAGCTTACGGTAGCCATCCGAAGTGCTAACACAAACTGTCCTAATTCTAAGTTTGTGTGTGTTGTATGTGTGTGCGCGTGTGCGTGTGTGCGTACGTGCGTGTGTGTGTATGTATATGTGTGTGTGTGTGAATATTTATTTTGGCCAAATAAGATCACAAATGAAGAACTGAGTATTAAAACAAAATGCTTTTCACCGAACAAATGACTGGAAGAAGATAGAGATGGCTGAGATAGGTTTTGCAGAATGCCCCGTGATACTCTTTCAAGGATAGCTCTCCGATGGACTGCCAATTGTAAAAGGTGACGTGGACCTGTAGATTCTCTAGGCGCTACACAGGATGGAAGAAATCATTATTCATATTCTTTCAAACGGCTGGTTGTCCATGTTTCTACTCCATCAATACTTTCTTCATACATTCCTGGAGCACGAACTTAAAGGGTTGAATATTCCTTGGTTTTATAGTTTTGGATTTGATAGTCATAATCATCCTTAAAGTCATCGGCCGAATCTTTGTTGAGGTAATGGGGGAGGGGGTGTCAAGTGTTGTCTGCACTAGGCCTGGTGGCCTGCCCTGATTAGTGTCTTGATTTTTAGTCTGATTGTTGTCTTGTTTTTTTAGTATTATTTAAGCTGTTATGTGTGTGTGTGTTTTTTTTCTTAATTGGCTCTACGAATGGCGGAGTGTCTATGGATGTGTCTTCGTTCTGCTTTTTTTCTTGTTTCTTTGTCTGGGATTTCTAAGAAATGTTAATGTTGCCCACTGAATTGACCGCTGGTGTCTGTTTTCAGTTTGTCTGTTTTTCTGTAGTGCAGGAAGAGTTGGTTTGCTGGGTATCGGAACTTCTGATATTAGTTAAGTTTTAGTTGTTCTGTGGTTGCAGGAAGTACCGGTCGTGTAGTGTGTTCTTTCAAAGATGGAGGCCCTCTGTTATTATGGCTGTTTTATATAGTTTTGTTGTTTTATTCTAGGGGTTGAACAGCCTCTGTCTTTAACTGTTGAGATAGTTTTTGAGTATTTTCTTGTGGTCTGTACAACTTCTACGTTTTTAACAGGTTGCATCACTTTATGTTGTCTTCTCGTAGAGTGGGAACACCTCTGTCGTCTTGGCTGGTTGTGATGACTTTGTGTTGTCTTCTCGTAGAGTGGGAACACCTCTGTCGTCTTGGCTGGCTGTGATTACTTTGTGTTGTCTTCTCGTAGAGTGGGAACACCTCTGTCGTCTTGGCTGGTTATGATGACTTTGTGTGGTCTTCTCGTAGAGTGGGAACACCTCTGTCGTCTTGGCTGGCTGTGATTACTTTGTGTTGTCTTCTCGTAGAGTGGGAACACCTCTGTCGTCTTGGCTGGTTGTGATGACTTTGTGTTGTCTTCTCGTAGAGTGGGAACATCTCTTTTGTCTTGGCTGGTTGTGATGACTTTTGCTTTGCTTCTTGTAGAGCTGCTGTTGTCTTAGCTGGTCTTGCTGTTCGATGTGTTCGTCTGACTGGTCACCTATCTGACCACTGATCATCTCGATTACAGTTCGTGTAATCAATGTGTCTGCCTGGGACAGTGATCAAGATTTTATGATTTGCGTCTAGTAATGCCTGGTGCTGACACGTGGAAATAACCAGGAAGATCTTTTGTTGGTCTGGATAGTGTTCCCCCATTTTCCGTCATCAGGTCTTATTTCAAAAACTTTTGGGTTACTGTTTCCTGTTGCTGTTGTCACAACCTCTTTGATCCCTTGTTGATGGGGAAGACAACTGATTGTTAGTCGTTTCCTCTCTTTATGAATATGTTTGATGCAGCAAGTAATGTTTTCTCATTTAGGTATTTCTTTTTTTCATGCAATTTTTCATACATCTCCTTCTGATAACCGGAAATAGACAAAAGAACCACTTAGTTCGGTTCTCAAAGCGATATAAATCCTTTTTTATTGCTTTAGGGTCTAACTACACACCTATCACAAAGGTTAGGTTGATCTTTGCAGCTGCCAAGGCACTTTCAGTAGTGCTGACTAATGTACCTGGTCTGGGAAGGTCCATCACTTCATATTTATTTGTATAAATTAAGTATTGTGTGTACAACATCGTGTTGGCAACCTTTACTTCCCGTAACACTTTTAACTGGGCAGATGGTCAAGCTAATGCTATTTATTTTTAAAAATCTACCCGGATTTGAATTATAATGCCGAACGACTGCGCCACTACTCCAAGGCGGCTCCACGTGTGTTGTAACCATTGGTTACCCCAGGCTGTATCTGTACTAACTGTACTGCTCAATAACTTCAAGAAAGAAACACTAGAAAGAAAGAAACATAAACCAGTGTTCTTGTTTCATCCATTCATCCAATATGAACAGTCGGCCACGTTCAACCTACTGTGAGCAGTATCGGTTATAATTGTTCTGGTTTGGAACGGTCACGAAATGTCACACACAATGTCCAGCCTTCTAGCAGTGTAAATCTTCTAACGCCTTAAAAAAAAAAATACTGGGCAATCATAATCGCTAACGCCAGCAGACAAGACAATCGGAGCAGTCCCAATAACCGAAACGCCAGCAGACAAGACAATCGGAGCAGTCCCAATAACCGTAACGCCAGCAGACAAGACAATCGGAGCAGTCCCAATAACCGTAACGCCAGCAGACAAGACAATCGGAGCAGTCCCAATAACCGAAACGCAGCCATGGTCTTATATTTCAAGCTAATCATCATCGATTTAAAACAGCAATCGGACGTCTTCCGTCTTTCCTCTTTATCTCCCCCCCCCCTTTCTCTCTCTCCCCCCCCCCTTCCTCTGTTATTGAACGGGCTTGAATGTTGACCTGTCCCCAGCCGTTATCTTGTACCCGACCGGCCAGACAGGATGGGCCAGGACTATGTATACCTGTTCTCACGTGCACTTGTGTGTCGTGCAATGTTGCGATCACCCTAACCTGTGGCGAGCAGCCCAGAAAATATCTATTGATTGCCCCATCTATTATACTCCATTTTCATTGTTCTTTTATCTGGGCTCCGGTTTGTCTTTTTTCGTGAGCTAAGGATGAAGTTATCGAACAAACGCGCAGCAGAAGGACAAGGCAGTGAGCAGTGCCCCAGCGACATCCCCGGGCGGGAGCAAATACTGTTTCTTGCTGCTGGCAGTTAAACATTTAATTATTAAGACAACAATAACACACACAAAAAAAGAGGTAAACAGAGATGCTGAATAGCATTAATTGTGGTATTTATTTGTTGAAATGAGTGGTGGTTTAATATGTTTGGTAAATATGGTGTTGTTCGTTCTTACCCTGTAAAGAAGTAAACTAATCATTTGGTTGGTGGGTTATATATGTCTATTTATGTCTCCCATGCTGTTACCTAGAGTGATGAGCCTTTCACCTCTCCCACATCTCTCCCACATCTCTCCCACAGCTCTCCCACACCTCACCCACATCTCTCTCACACCTCTCCCACAGCTCTCCCACATATCTCCCATACCTCTCCCACAGCTCTCCCACATCTCCTGAGCTGACAATAGAATAGGGTACTTCCTCTTCTTCTTAGCATTCGCTGGCTGTAAACTTCGGCAAAAAGTTCCGGTTGTTAGTTCACTGCTAAACTTTGGCCTTGAACCAAAGCGTCAGTTTCGCGTTCATATACGTTTTACAGATCTGGCTTATTTATATGCAGACGTGTGATTGCTTGTCTCTCAGGCAGATGCACTCCGACGTTCAAGGAAACAACACTACTTAGTCACCTACTACGAAATTCCTTTTAGGGAGCTAGTGGGTCGATAAGACATTTTTTTTAAATGGGGCACTGGAACCCGCACGGAGATGGTAAACAGTTCACAAACTAGAGGCCCCGATAAACCTCTTATGGTTGGACCACACGTAACGGCCACCCCAATGACTACCCTGGTACAACTTGCAGTCGTGTGCGGCTACAGGTCGTCTTCATCGACTGTTTTCTCTGTTGAGGCCGCTGCCAGAAAGGTAGACCATCTTTGCGATCCCAAGAGTCTCTTCCTGGATGGCAAGCCAGCATTGCAAATCTCATATGCTCTTTTCGACCTCTTCTTCATCATCAGTCATCATGTCTGTTACAGAAGGTCGCTCTGGTCACGGCGAGCTAATTCTCCAGCTCTTATGTGCTTTCATAGTCAATGCATCTTCAATGTTTGTGTCCACCTTCGCGGAGATCTGCCTATGCCTCGTTTTCAGGACATTCTGACCGCCTTCACAGTTCTCTCCAGTTCCCCCCATAACATGACCAAAATACCTCCTTCCGGTCAAAATGGAGGACAAGGCATGGCAAAAGGTTAAGCTTCGAAGTCATTTTTGCTTCCGACAGCGCTTTGCTTACACAGTTTCCACATATGGACCACAGTCTACGGTTTCGCTGCACAAGCTACTAAGCTTAAAGCTTGGCGCAGCACTCTGAGCTGTCTTTTCCCCCTGTAAAGCCTTTTATTTGTACAGCGGTTGTCTCGTGATATTCAGTATGGCCGGTAGCCGGTTTACGAGTCAGTTGGTGAAATACCTTAGGTAATAACGATATTAAAACAGTGTACACAATTATTATATTTTGTTGTTATTTATTTTTCCCTCGGGGTCTGCATCCTAACATTGACACGCAGTGGTTCGTTGAGCCACTATTCGGGTGTTACTAACATGGTTAATTTTTTTTTTTAAACTTTTAAACCAAATAAACTCACAGTGGGCAGCCAATGGGTACGAACTAATGTGTCTTTGAATGTGGGTTGGTCTCACCGGTGATGCTATAACTAGCTGAGAATGTTTGTTTACAGGAGAGACCGTGTGCAAAGTGAGCTTGATGCAAGCCAACAGTGGCACAGAAACTGGAACTTTCTAACCACAGATTACGAAGAGGTAGGTAATCTTCGTCTTCTCGTTATTCTTCTTCACGTTCACCGACTGTGAATTCCGGTAGGAACTTCTGGTAATTTTTCACTTCTCGACTCTAGTCTTGTTCGAGAACTTGAATTTTGCATGTACATCAGTTTTACTAATCTGAATTTGTTGTATGCACACTGCTGTTTTCTCAGGCAGAGACACTAAGACTTCCAAGAAAACACTCCTTTTTAGTAACCTTTAAAGACATGCTTATTGAAGGCAGCAGGTCTATTCTTTCCTTTCCTCCTCACCCCTTCTACTCACCCCAAAATGAAGTCTCGGAACCCAGTCGGAGAGGGGAAATATGTAATGAGAACTTTACTCACCACGGTTGTTCTTCATGGCTACATTATATTAGATCAAGCTTGGTCTGACGCATGGAACAAAGAAGGCTGTTCACAGTGTTCCAGCATGTGACCCTGTCGGTGATAGACGATGGGTTTGGAATGCTTACCATATCAAAAAGTAAGCTGATGGAACTCGAACGCATACAGAATGAAGCCATGTTGGTAACTCATACCCAGCAGTTTGTATTCGATATATACTTGCACTGCCTACTATTGCAGATAGGCTCAAAGTTTTGCAGTCAAAGTCATATCTAAGAGTAGCTGCAGATAAGAAGCACCTAACGCAAGAAGCCCGGGTAAAGTTAAGGGTCACAGACTAAAAAGATGAAAGTTTTGGATGGCGCAAGCTGAAGACACAATTCGACATGTGTGCAGGCTTGATAAATTTACGCTAGGAGAGTAGTGGGTCAAAGTGTCCGAGCAAGTTTCAGACTTATGTACGGTTTTTACCACTTTAGCGCGTGAGTGCAGGGACTGGCCAGCTGGTGCTGCAGAATCAGAAGTTTAACAAATGTCATTATGTATTGAGATAGCTTTGTGTTGAGTGACAGACGAAGTGCATAGGTGTTTATAGCGAAGGTGAATGGACGTGGCTTAGCGCAACAAATCCTTGCACATGATATAACAATGTCTAGTTTGAGAATAGAGGTGAAGGCAGTCACTGCTGCCTTCCGCTGGCTTGAGACTCAGCTGTACACACATGACGTGCTTGTAACTGACTCACAGAGCATGTTCAGACAGGTGGAGACAGGCATGCTCCGTGCAAAGTGGCAAGCATCAATTCAGAGGTCCCGATTAGTTAGTGTTCTTTGAATATTTTCTCCAGGTGGTGCCGGTGTGTTGGGAAATGAGCAGACAGACAGACTGGCCGGCTCTGCACCACTTTGTTGTGAACTAATTTATGATAAGCTAGATATTTTGAGGGCCCTTTGGGAGCGAGTGAACAGTGCAGAGGGGCAGATAGATCATTACGGTCTGAGGATAATAGCGCTGCGAGAAGTTAACAAGGGATCTGGCAGACGCTCAACAAGGAGCGTTTATGGGAGTGTCCGGAGTGCTGTGATGTGGATTCTTAATTTAACCTTCCACCTTCAACAATCATGGTCTGAAGACGTTAACATGCAATGACTGCTCCAAGTCGGTAAGCCAAGAAAGAAATTGCTTGTTGAGGCAGCTAGACACCAAGTTACGCTAGTCAAGGAAACACTGTGAGGGGAAAAGGCGGTAGATGGTAAGAAGGTAAAGAGGGGGGTGGGAATGGGAGGGGGGGGAGTGTTAAATAACTGACATTTAAAATGAATCAGTATTAGAACTGTCTATAAGGCTCAATCCTAACTACAGTCCTCCTTTTCACTGTCCTATTTGAAAACTAGTGATAACATTGTCAGTCCTAGCCACATTTTGAAGCTTGCAGAGTAAACAGGCATAAGGCAACTGTCGGATGTGCCAACACTAATGGCCACACACCAGAATTGCCAACACAGTGTTGGCGCAAAATGCCAGTCATGAAAACCTGTATTGCACCAGCAAAATTACTTGCCATTCTGAACTCAATCGACCACTCGACATTTTCGACCCATGTTTTCTGTTATTTAATGATCTATTTTCGCTATCTCCATAGCGCTTGATATGACCAAAAGATTTCAGTTTCCGAGACAGGATGCTGTTTATTAGCCAATCTTCCCTAATGTTCAGATTAGGTAAAAGTCGAACATTTCTTCTCTTCTTTGTCCATGGTATTCTAAGAATCCTTCTATAGCATTTCAGCATTACAGCCCGGATTTTCTTTCTTAAGGACTCGGAGATAGTCCTGGACCGGCATCCGTTTGTTGCTACAGTGAAAACGCATGTTGTCAAAAAAAAAAAAAAAAATCTGATCCTAGTGCTTAACCATAGACTTTGAATGCTGAATAATCTGTGCATTGTAATGGTTATCCTTCTTTTGATTTGCTGTCAGACAGTCTCCTTCGATGTTTATTTTAGAGATAGATACTTTATGTCTGTGACATTTTCAGTGCTTCATCATATGTTGTGATTTTTGGGCGACATGTAGCTCATATTGTAGTTTTAAAGAAAAATGACTACACTGGGGAGTCATACTGTCCTAATTATAAATTTTATCAAGTTGTAATTTCAGACATTCATTATGTCAACACTTTTCGAACCTCTGTTCGCTGTCGCTTTGATGTAATCTTGAACATTTAATCGGGCTGACGCTGGCATTATCAGCATGGGCTCTGCCTTTGTTAGAAACAAAACAGAAAAAATGGCGATGTTCGTAAACGAATTTCCAGTGCAGAAATGTCAAGTCATTCTTTCATTCTTAATCGCTATCTCTCTTTTACCTCTTCCATTTTCTTAATCCTCTTGTCTGTCGTATGCTCTCCGTCTCTATCTCCGCCTCATCCTCTCTCTCTCTCTCTCTCTCTCTCTCTCTCTCTCTCTCTCTCTCTCTCTCTCTCTCTCTCTCTCTCATCCTCTCTCTTTTCTCTCCATTTTTCGTTGCCTCCTGCCTGACTGTTCCATTCTCCTCCACCATCCCCTCTGTCTCTAACTGATCGTCTTCCCCTTTATCTTACTGTTACACAGAAAACACAAACACGTCGATTGATCATTGTCCCAACAAAAGTGTTTTGTGTTCGTCTTGAACTGTTCGTCATTGAGTCCATGGCCAGGGAGGTTAAGTGCAGATAAGCAAAAGATCCCTTTTACGGCAGTGTCGAGTCAAGCATATGTTTGCTAAACTCATACGCATATAGACCAAATGACCGGTCGGTGATATGGCCAACATGCAAAGACATTATCTGGTACCCATATTAGGCTGCGCCGACCCGAGCTATGGTCAGTTTCGAATTAAAATTTAAAAAAAAAAGTATGTTTCCACGAGAATGCGAACCCAGGACTTTCGCACCGACAGGCGAAGCCCTAGTAGCGATTGCAACAGCCACACAATGGAAAAATTGTAGGCTTCTATGTGGTCAAGTGGTCGCATGGAGCCCTGGAGCTTGGAGTCAGGCAGGAGCACGAGCCTGCAATAGCCTGCCGCGTAGTGGGAAAACATTTGGACAAGTGATGCTAAACATTTATCTATTTCAAAAAAAGTTGTGTGTCAAGTCGTCGTGCTTGTGTTGGGTGGGAGGGGAGAGGAGGGTGGGGGGGGGGGGGGTTAAGGGTCATAGAAATATCACGATTTTGATAATTATGGTGGAAAAGGGGGGGGGGGGAGTGATTCGGGATTAGGTGCTAGTGGCTTATAGTTTTAGCGGCAGCTAGGCTGCGATATGTGGGTGATCTGACATATGGGTAGTCAAGTATGTCGTGGCTGTATTATTTATGTTAGCCTAGGTGGTTTGTGGGAGCCGCGGCTGGTGTGAGTGCCGCATGGTGGCTCAGCAGCTAGAGCGGGGTGATGGGGGGTAGCGCGGCGCGGCGTGGATAGTGCTGGATGGTTCAACGAATAGCATAAGGTAGTGTAGGTGCTGCTTGTAATGTGAAAGCAGGCGAATTTCAAGGAACAGTCTGTCCATCTAATCTTATCTTAGAGATAAGACATTTTAATTATTAGGTCAGCTGGACAGATAGGAAAAAAGGACGCCTATAAGATTGGCTGGGCAGATTGTTATAGGAAATTCATCCGTTTTGTTGGTAAAAGTTACTAATAGGGTGAAAGTTTATAATTTGCAGTAAGTGATCACGTTGAAAAGCTAGTTGTCAGTTTAAGAAGTTGACAAAACACATTGACAAATATAAACTTTTAACAGGTAGGCAAATATCTGACACCTGTTTGCTAGTGACCACTATAAGAAAATAAAGAAAAGAAAAAAATGTCCATTAGTACCAAAGATTATATGTTTCTCTATGTGCAAATGTTGAAAAGATGTCTGTTGGAATAGAAAATTTTTAAGTTAATAAAAGATCTACCAGAGACAGTCATAAACATTGTTCTCTGTGTGCATGTTGACAAGTTTGCAAGACTTGTAAACGTACAGTAAGACAAAGTCACTAATGTTACAACAAGACAGACGATCGGTTGGACAGAAAAGTTGAAGGGACGTTTAGTTCGTTAGACAAGAAGAAACAGTTTTGAAACCTGTCCTTTCGATTTGTAAAACATCGCGGAACCCCTTATTATACAATGAGGCGTTTCTTACGTGCAGAGTACAATTTATCAAGATGGTGGTTTTGAATACTAAAAAAAAGTCACTTGTGAAAGAAATAATATGTAAGTTGGTAAACTGTATTGTTAGTGAATTGAAAAGAACAGCGAAAGTAGCTGTCCAGAAAAAGTTCTTTGCCGTGGCTGCCATGTAGATAATTGCCATGGGCTGCGAATTTCTATCGGCCAGAGATGCCACACCCACCGCTTTTGCCCTAATTATCCCAATCATAGCCCTTAGGTGACCCCTAACTCCTGTCATCTGACACACCAGTACGTCGACTTGGCTCACAACTGCATTTTTTTTTTTTTTAAAGTACATACAATTTTAGCATCATGTGTCCAAATTATTTCCTCTTTAAAAATATGCACACTACCTTCTCGCTCCAGGTCTTAGGTTCCAGGGTTCCACGCGACGACTTTACCATATAAAACATTGCTAACAGATACAGGACTCCAGATAAGTACAGCTTGATGGTGTAATGGTTAAGCTGTTGCCTCGGTTATGAAACTTGTGGGTTTTCTTTGAGTCTCAATCTTTCGATTGGCGAGTGTAAAAGTTGTGGAGATATCTTTGGATGGTCGCATGAGATATCGAGTGATTATTTTGTGGGACATTATCAATGGACTATTAGCCGATTTTCAGAACGAGACTTGGTAGTTCTGGAAACACGGTAGGGGGAAGTTGATCATCTCTCCTATTCACAGCCACACAGCAAGAACTGCGTTATTGTCTTTATTCAGCCACTTTTAGAAGTATTTCTTATAGTATAGGATAGCCGCGACAGGACAGTAGCTGGCATGTCTAGCCGAAAGTCGTAGGTTTGTAGCTATGTCCACCCCGCGTTAATTCCGGTACCAACTGTGGGTACAACAAGAATAGACTCATTGCTTCTGCAACAAGCATGTCGTAAGAGTCGACTATTTGGAGGTTTATTCGAATGCGGAGTGCACCTGCATGAGAGGAATGCAACCAATGTGCATGCAGATAAGCTAAATCTGTAAAGCTAACGTGTTGCCAACACCCAGTTTCTGCAACAACACTAAAATTCAGAGGTAAACGAACACGTACTTTCCACAGAAGGGTACAACAGGTAAACCCGAAGAAGGAAAAGAGGAAGAAGAGAAAGAATATACATTCAAAAAAAATTTTTTTTTTTTATTAAGTCTCAAAATGGGTACACGGAAATGTAGAAAATAGGGGTTTCATGTGGTTAACTAACTCTTTGTCATTCAACACATCCAGTCAATGTTTTTGACGCACGTTTTCGTGATTTTAAAGCCACTCATGGGTTGAACGGGGTTTCTGGGACTTGTCCAATGAATATCATTATCTGAATGGTGGCACTTTGGTCACCGTTTGCTTATCGCTCGGTGTGATATACTGGTGGGGTAAAACATCAGTCAGTTAGTTGACTTACTCTTCCATAGTCTCCCAGGAGATATATATAAATATAAACCAGTCACAATCTGCTTGATCCTCCAATGGAGCGGAAATGGTGTGTTAACTGATTTTTGTTTCTAAACTTATGAAAGAATTGTGTGTCCATGGAAAACTACAAACAACAAATGTAACATAAATGAGTAAAGAAGGCTGTTATCTTCTCTCCAGCTTGTCAGGGAGCAATTTCCAAATCGGAACCCTGACAAATCAAAACGCCAAACTGCCAAGAACAAGCTGAAGGAGCTGATTTCAGTTCGCCCTACCACGCCAGTTGACCAGTAAGTGGTTGGCTTGTCTATGTGTCTCACAGATCTGTTGATGGTGTCTACCAGGCCAGTTGACCAGTAAGTGGTTAGCTTGTCTACGTGTCTCACATATCTGTTGATGGTGTCTGAATATTTCTCACCCTTTGTTGAACTCATTCTACCGGCTACAAGGTCGTCGGCTCAAATCTGCACGGAATAGATTATAAACATTGGTGTTCAGCCGACGCAGTCTAGAGTTCGTAGCAGATAATGTCTGCTCGAGTAAATGCTGCAGACTTCACACTGACCACATCGTACAGTGAGCGCCAAGTAAAGGCTATAGACTTGACACTGACCACATCGTCCATTGAGCGCCAAGTAAAGGCTGTAGACTTCACACTGACCACGTCGACCAATAAGCGCCAAGTAAAGAAGCAGACTTCACACTGACCACATCGTCCAGTGAGTGCCAAGTAAAAGCTGCAGACTTCACACTGACCACATCGACCAATAAGCACCAAGAAAATTCTGCAGACTTGTCACTGACCACATCGTCCAGTCGGCGCCAAGTGAAGGCTGCAGACTTCACACTGACCATATCGTCCAGTGAGCGCCAAGTAAAGGCTGCAGACTTCACACTAACTACATCGTCCAGTGAGCGCCAAGCAAAAGCTGCAGACTTCACACTGACCACATCGTCCAGTGAGTGCCAAGTAAAAGCTGCAGACTTCACACTGACCACATCGACAAATAAGCGCCAAGAACATCCTGTAGACTTTTCACTAACCACATCGTCCAGTCGGCGCCAAGTAAAGGCTGCAGACTTCACACTGACCATATCGTCCAGTGAGTGCCAAGTAAAGGCTGCAGACTTCACACTGACCACATCGTCCAATGAGTGCCAAGTAAAAGCTGCAGACTTCACACTGACCATATCGTCTAGTGAGCGCCAAGTAAAGGCTGCAGACTTCACACTGACAACATCGTCCAATGAGTGCCAAGTAAAAGCTGCAGATTTCACACTGACCACATCGACCAATAAGCGCCAAGTAAAGGCTGCAAACTTCACACTGACCACATCGTCCAGTAGGCGCCAAGTAAAGGCTGCGGACTTCACACTGACCATATCGTCCAGTGAGTGCCAAGTAAAGGCTGCAGACTTCACACTGAACATATCGTCCAGTGAGTGCCAAGTAAAGGCTGCAGACTTCACACTGAACATATCGTCCAGTGAGTGCCAAGTAAAGGCTGCAGACTTCACACTGACCACATCGTCCAGTCGGCGCAAAGTAAAGACTGCAGACTTCACACTGACCACATCGACCAATAAGCGCCAAGTAAAGGCTGCAGATTTCACACTGACCACATCGATCAATAAGCACTAAGAAAATCCTGCAGACTTGTCACTGACCACATCGTCCAGTCGGCGCCAAGTGAAGGCTGCAGACTTCACACTGACCATATCGTCCAGTGAGCGGCAAGTAAAGGCTGCAGACTTCACACTAAGCACATCGTCCAGTGAGCGCCAAGTAAAGGCTGCAGACTTCACACTGACCACATCGTCCAGTGAGCGCCAAGTAAAGGCTGCAGACTTCACACTGACCACATCGACCAATAAGCGCCAAGTAAAGGCTGCAAACTTCACTCTGACCACATCGTCCAGTGAGCACCAAGTAAAGGCTGTAGACTTCACACTGACCATATAGCTAGTGAGCGCCAGCTAAAGACTGCAGACTTCACACTGACCACATTGTCCAGTGAGCGTCAAATAAAGGCTGTAGACTTCACACTGACCACATCGTCCAGTGAGGGCCAAGTAAAGGCTGCAGACTTTACACTGACCATATCGTCCAGTGAGTGCCAAGTAAAGACTGCAGACTTCACACTGACCATATCGTCCAGTGAGCGCCAAGTAAAGGCTGCAGACTTCACACTGACCATATCGTCCAGTGAGTGCCAAGTAAAGGCTGCAGACTTTACACTGAACACATCGTCCAGTGAGCGCCACTTAGGTCTAGCATCACAAACTCGATGGACTTGGAATAGGCAATTTCTTTGTTTTCTTTTTTCTTAAAAAAAAAATAATGTGTACAGCAATATTGTTGCATCGAATACATAACTACCAATTGTCATAGTTATTAAAGCGACCAAACAAAGCTATGAGATCACCAGCGTATTAATTCCAACATTAGGCTACCAGTGCCAAATATGGATACTATCTGAAGCCCATGTAATCAAATCATTACCTGCGAGATGAGATGAACGAGAAAGGCCGCCAATCTAATCACTCAAGATCGAGTGAATAATAATGAATTTATATCGATTATGGGAAAGACACCTTGTACTCTATTCGTCTAAAACAGGGGATGAAAACGGTTCGGCCATCTTGTTAGAAAAGAGCAACATCAAATACCATCACAAGCACTACATATCAGAAGATCAGCTACAAGAGCAAGAGGACGGCCATGAAAAAATGGATAGACACGATTAAAGTCACTTTACGCCTTTACGGCACAACAATAGCCAGTGCCAACCTGCGTGCACTGGATCGCTTATTATTCCTCCCCATGTCGCTTAATGACAGAAGTGGTGTATGATGATGATGATGACTGTTGCCTTGCATTTTTTTAAAAAAACGTAATCTAAACGGTGGTAGTGGGACATTGAAATTGAGGACTGTTCAATGTTATGCTTCAACCTTAAAATAGGGTGCAGAAACATGAGCATTGAACAAATAATTAAATAGTTGAACTGGGTCTTTTGTGATGGTGGCATACATACAAATATTTCCTATTTATTGGAGGGGGAAACAACAATCAAATTAAGCAGCTTTGATATACATTGATATACATTTATACATTGAGACAACTATCAGAGAGGGCAATAGAACATGATAAGACATGTTTGTTGACATTCATAGACCAAGAAAAAGCCTTCGATAGAGTCGACAGGAATATGTTGTGGGAATGTATGGGGAAAAAAGGAATCAGCAATCATCTCATTAATATTTGCAAAAGCCTGTACACACGTAGTGAATGCTGCATAAGATCAAAGGCAGGGTTGTCTAGAACTTTTATAGTGAACTCTGGTGTGCGTCAGGGCTGTGTACTATCGCCGCTTCTTTTCATAACATACATGGACGCCATATGTAGCGAAACAGACTTTAATCAGGAAGAAGATATAACAGAATTACTTTTCGCCGACGACCAGGTACTAATAGCAGAAAATATGGAATGCCTACAGAACCACCTAAATCAAATTAGTAACAAAGGGGAGGAATATAATATGAAAATAAACACTACGAAGACAGAGACAATGATGATAGGAAGACATAAAGACAATTTAGAAATTAAATTAAAAAACAACACCCTGAGACAAACAGAGGAATTTAAGTATTTGGGAGCAATTTTTACTTCAGACGGAAAACTGGACAGAGAAATTAGCTCCAGATGTGCCAAAGCTAATCAAGTAATGGGCCAACTATCTCCCCTGTTGACACACAAGCAGATACCTCAGAGTACTAAAGTGAATCTTATCAGAACTATTTTTTGGCCAATACTATGCTATCAGTGCCAAACGTGGACACTTACATCCTCCAATGAACGTAAAATTGTGACAACAGAGATGAAATGCCTTAGAAGAGCTGCAGGAGTTTCAAGGAAAGACAGAATACAAAATCATGAAATCAGACGAATGCTAGGAATAAAGCCAGTCTTACAGGTCATCAAAGAACAACAAATGAAATGGTTTGGACACCTAACAAGAATGCCCTGGTACTATCTGCCACAGCGAGCCACACTAAAACGTTACAACGGGTATAAAGCGAGTGGAAGACCTCGGAAAAGATGGAGTGATGGCATTAAGAACAGCCTTACAGAAATGAACATCAGTCTTAATAGTGCTCTTGACAGAGCTCATCAACGAACATTACATCTCCCCCCGACACTTCGATGAGGTACAAGGTGGAAGAGAAGAAGAAGAAGAAGAAGAAGAAGAAGATAAAGTGGGAACACACACACACACACACACACACACACACAAAACACTTTCTGAAAATAAGTAAGTAAATTTGACTCCACCATGACATCACACAGAGCGATAAACACCCTGTGACACAAAGTGGCACCATACGGATGAGGATCACCTGGGGTGGGGGCTTTAAAATAACAAAAAACTGCATCGATTAGCAAAGTAAACGAAGAAATTTAATTTTTAATACATGAAAGTCATTAAATTTTGATCAAATCAAAAATTGTACACATTTTATAAACAGTGCACTCAAAGCTAAAGCTGAAGGCCATCAAGACAAAGGCAGACAGCAATATAAACAGGCGTTTTATATCAAGGGATGGACGAACATCAGTCTTGATTAAACGATTGAATGATCTATCGGTAGACCGATCGATTGATTGTTTGATTTAAAACAGTAGCACTGTTGATGCTTAATGCTACGTGCATTCCTGTAGCGGCATCTATACATCAAGCATGTCGCCTAGCTCTGCATTGCCTTCATTATTGAGGCAATCAATTATTGTCCTTGAAACTATATATATCTATATGTGTTTGAGACAAAACATTTATATTTCTGCCAAATTGTTTTATGCTGGAAATAGTACTACAAGGGATGACTAGGGTGCACTTAGGGGCAATGATTCAAGATAAGGCAGCAGAGGAGACAAAGATGAAGTAGAAGACCAGATATTAAATATGAGGTTTTAATTAGACACCTATTTCCACTAGGCCTACATATAGGTCAGCAGTAGATCTCAAGTTGAGGTATAGGATGAAAGAACAAGACTTTATTTCACAATCCCGGGCGGAAACCAGCAATTACCATAACACAGTTTTCATAATATGTATTTTATGTATATATATATATATATATATATATATATATATATATATATATATGTGTGTGTGTGTGTGTGTGTGTGTGTATGTGTGTGTGTATGAATGTAGGCATGTATGTATATACTTATGTGTGTATGTATGTATGCATGTATGTGTGTATGTAATGTGTATATGTATGTATG